GTTAAGTTTCTCAGAGTTTTTATAAAATCTGGGGGCTGAAGGGGAAGTAGATATATCTCTATAATATCGTGATAAGTCCATTTTAGCCATTTAAATGTATATATCATTCATTAAAAGCAGACTTGACTATTAGACGACATTTCTTTTTGCACTTATTCGAATTTATTTGGTCTAATCTGGCTTGGAATTATTGTTATTTAATTAGTTATGTTGCAACAAGTAATTTTTTTCTTTAAACTCTGAAAATGGTTGGATATAAGTTCTTGTATAGAAAAAAATATTCTGCCATGTGTTTTTGCAGTTGGGATTAGGCTTAAACGTTTAATCAATCAACCCTATCCCGTTACTTAGTAACGTCCGTAGACAGTATCGAGGAGGGAGTAATTGGTCCACCTGAAATTTTCATCTGTGACGACAAACAGCCTGCTGCTCATCCGAGATAAAGGCTGATGTTTGCGTTACAGCATTTTAAGTAGACTGTTTGTGTGAACAATGTGATTAGCTAAGTCGTCCTCTGTTGTTAGACTTGGGTGTTTGGAGCCTTTAATCACATATGTATAATCTAAAGACTAAGCACACACACACACGTCTTATCTACTCAACACGGCAGTGTTTTTTTTTTCTCTCGATATCTAACAAATCTACTGGTTCCATGTTGCACACTCGAATGTGCGAGATTGCTTGATGAATCCCTAAACACGTGATTAGGTATGCTGCATTGAAAAACAAAACAACTTACTGCACCAACGAGGGAACTAATGATCGTTTGATTTCATGTGTCATTGGAATCTTTTCTATCCAACGGTACTCTTAATTTTTTAGAAATAAATATTTTCAGTCTTTATGGCTAATAACTAAAGTGACCAGATTTTAATATCCCCAAGCAATGATATTCAGATCTTAAAAACGGTACCCCTTTTATGAGGGGGAGGCTATAAATAATCGATTATGTAAATAATCATTTTCATCACGTGATATTTCATTACTACTGTTAAAGAGACAAGTGAATTTTCTTCTAATAACTTGTTGGCCAGATATTTGTCGCACAACTTTCATTGATATTCACCCTTGAGTTACTTTAATAAATGTTTCACGACTTGAAATCAAACATAATTTGTGTACAGCACCTGCCATTTACATTCAACTGTCTTTCTTTGGCGAGTGCAAAATCACGTGCTCAGTGATTTATGTAACAGTGACATCATGTTGTCTACTACAGCCTACATTACAGGCAACATTTAGGTCGCAAAAGGATCCATCGGGACAATATTCAAAAAACTTGAACATCTGGTCATCTTACTAATAACTGAAGTTGTATAAACTGTTCACCACCTATTCCTACAGTAAAAATGTATTAAATTCTGATAAAATAAACATCTCTCGATAATTTTTATAGATAATTCCTAACGCATGGAATTAGACAGTGGTGTAAGCGTAACTGACAGTTTATGACACTGTCTGTCATTGTTGAGTTGGTCAAATATTATAATTCAAGTTTTAATCAAGTGGTGTAAAACACCAACTTTAGATTAAACAAAAGTAGATAATATTACGTTTGACTAGACTTAGAAGTGTGAAAGACCTAAACTGGCAAAGCAGTGAAACTTTTCAGGTCTAACAAAAGTTATTAAAATCACAGTTGACTCAGATGTTGTTGTTTTTTTCACATTCCTTTTTGTTCAGTCGATTACAAAGTTAGAATCAAATATGCGTAAAATAGCATTTTGTTGGCTACAAGTGACTACCGACGGAGGTCTTTCCTTCAACAGTTGCATCCATCACTCATCTTTCCTATTTACCCTGCCGTGGTTCAGCAGAAAGTCTGAGGATTTATAGCGCTAGAAATCGGGTTTCGATACTCGCAATAGGAACAGCACAGATGGTCCATTGTATAGCTTTGTGCTTAATAGTAAATAAACAAAACTTCCCAACTTTTGTTTTTAGGGACAAAAAACCATTGTTTATTATAACACTGTGTATATATATATATATATATTAATTTTTTTAAATTAACCCCAAAATTTTTACACAAGTTACTTTTTTAATTTAAAAAAAGCCACTGAACTGACATGTTCTTACAACAGTCGTAACAAGCGGTCATTTAGCATTGAGATTTTAAAATAAACAAACTGTAATTACTGAAATCATCACTCGTTCTAAGTAAGTGAGTTACTTATTTTTAAATAAACAAACTGTACTTACCGAAATCATCTAAGTAAGTGAATCACTTATTTTTCATTCCAGGAGTAACTGTGATCCTATCGTATCGAGTACACTACGTAAGTATTATAATCGACCATATTTTCTGCCAGAAGACTCGGAAGGCAGTACACTGGACTGGATTTTTATAGGAGCCCCAGGATACGGGGCTAATATGCACGTGAGTACCCAGAGTTTATCAACTCTTTATGTTGTGTTAGTGTCTAGCGCAACAACTTTCATCAACAAATCAGATAATAGATGTGGTTCCGCGATCACGAAACCCGAGTCTTGGATGCGATCACGATGGACTTTTTTGACAACTCTTGTTGAGGCAAGACCATCTATCAAGACCAAAGATGCTGTAGCAGCATTCAAATGTAGGTTTAATGCTGACAAGGACAGTAGTAACAGTAGTAGCCGACCGCCAGATCGGTAGATCAAAAACAAGGTCTTTAACCTCAGACAATGTAAAAAGGTCGCATAACTAGATCTGAGAATCAAAAATAAAGTAACAAATTAGTGGAGCGCGGCATGGTCAGGTGGTTAGGGCGCTCGACTCGCAATCTGAGAGAAGCGGGTTCGAATCCCCGTCCCACTAAACATGCTCGCCATTTCAGCCGTGGGTGCGTTATAATGTGACA